CTCAATGGCACCCACATTTTTTGTAAAATCTTACTCTAAAACAACATACGCCAATAGGTTTCATGCTTGAGGTGTACCAATGTACACAAATTTCATCTCATTCGGATAATGTCCAAAATGTGGGTATGTCATGGACCTATTTTGAATATTTTTTGGGAAGAAGTTTTTTTACTCACAAAATCACAAAATCCTGGAAGGCCAACCATTAAAACCACATCATTTGGAGAATGCAAGTAAAACATCCAAAATACCGAAATGAAGCTATACCGTCATATAAGGCCAGTACCAACAACTTGGATCCATATGTCTCAATACTAAACATTCAAAGCGTATGCTTGTCAATTTGGCTTGTTTCAAAGTCGATAGAATTTTAATGCTAATTTATTGGACACAAATGTTTACTAGCATTATTGGCTAGTATTTATGACAAACCAACACATTGATATTTACTTATATTTTTAATTCAATCGCTGTTGTATTACGTGAATTTAATAATTTGTTTATGTATTTTGTTCGATCAGATTTTTTTTTTTAAATTTTGTTCCTAGAAATCGCTATATTTATTTGTCTCTATTTTATAGGTTATATGCAATTTGGTGTATACACTTATATTATTATAGAAACGAAAAATTTATTATGAAAAATTATTGGAATTATTGATGCATCAAATGTCAGATGTTATAATCGTTTAAATGAAGCTACATAATGTTTGGCATTTAAATAATACTAGTAAAAAAAGTGTCATTCGGTTTTGCCGACAGATATACACACCCAGCCTATGGTTCGGAATTACACACAGATTTTATTATTATAACCTGCACAACTATGTTGTCAGGGTATTATAGTTTTGTGCAGCCCAAGAGTTTGTAACGCCGCGGAATCGGGCCAAAGAATAAGCATGACTGTTTTGATAAAGATCGGTCAATATTTAGCGGGTCAAATGGACCCTGACTTTTGTGTGAGGAATGACAAATGACATAGACCCGAGAATATTGATACCAATTATATTGTCGGATGTGCTCAGATATAGGAGTTATGCATAATAAGGTAAATGTGACTATGTGCATAGTATTACTATTACTCCATTAAAAGACGGAAATGTCGCGCTGATCGCTTTGAAATTCTAAAGGAAGTTCCGATTATGGTCAAGGACTACGCCTATAGTTTTCGGTGAAGTTGAGATTTCATTCAGGGGGTGCAATGAACGGAAAACTTTAATTTTATCGGATTTTCTAGTCGCTCTAGAGGCAATTATTATATGCCGAACATAACATATTTTACAAGGTGAAGGAGATGTGACCAAATACTTAGAGCGGCTGTTTAGATGATGATCGTTCAATATTCCGATGGTCAAATCAACGAAAACCTAATTTTATTTTATGGGGGAAAATTCACTTCAAGAAAAAAAATGGAAAATATGTCAGGGTTAGAAAGTGGAGCTGTTGACCTATAATCGATCAAGAGGGTGCAAATATCACGAAATATTTCCCAGTTTCAGAATATAGAACCGCAAACAGTTAGAGTTCGTGGTAGTTGTTTAGGGTATCATATGGTCCGCCCCGTCCGACTATACTGCTCCGCTCACTGTTTAGCTTGATATAAGATATATATTTTTGTCAAAGAGGCTTCGGATTTAATGTTGATAAAATTGTATAAACTACTGGGTCCAATATTTAGAATTGATATAGGGTTGGTAAAGATAATAGGTTCCAATAGCTCCCATCTTTGGACTTAATCTAGACTTCGTAAAAAATGGGTTGTACCAAGTTTGATTCATATCGGACATTCCGTTCGCAAGATATTGGATTTACAAATATTGAAAATGTTGACAATTTTGAAATATTAAGATGTGCAAAATTTGGATGAAATTGATTATTCTCTTCGAGAGTTATCGTGCGCATCAGCCAGCCAGACGTACAACGGACGAACGGACGGACATGTGTAGACCGACTCCAAATATCCTGAAACGGATTTGATCCAAAGAAACATGGAAGATAGCTCAAACACGTCAAACGGATCCACAAAACTTCATTTCATTTATTTTTGATATAGCTCCCATATAAATTTTCATCCGATTTAATGTATATATATATATATATATATATTTCGTCCGATTTAATGTAAATGGTGTAGCAAAGTTCCTATACATCGTTCGATTTGCACGAAATTTGGCACAGCGTACTGAATTAGGTCTAGAATGATGTGTGTGAAGTTTCCTGAAAATCGGCGCACTGAATTAAGTCTAGAAAGATGTGTGTTAAATTTCATGAAAATCGTTTTAGATTTCGATATAGCTCCCATATATATTTTCGTGCACCAAAGTCTCTTAATATCTTTCGATTTGCACGAGATTTGTCAGAGCGTAATGAATTGAGTCTACAATGATGTGCTACGTTTTCTGAAAATTGGTTGAGATTTAGATGTAGCTCCTATATATATTTTCTTTCGATTTTATTTAAATTGTGCACTAAAAAACCAAAGTTTATCCGATTACCACACAATTTTGTACATGGAACTGTAATTAATAAAAAAAATGTACGCCGATTGACTCAAAACTTTGCACAACGTAGTGAAGTTAATATAACCTAGAGAGTGGAAAGTTTCGATGAAATCGGTTCATATTTCGATATAGCCTTTTTTCTAATTTAAATAAATGGTGCACCAAACTCCTCATGTTCATCAGATATTTATCCAAATAATCAATTGATTTACATAATTTTACCCCATTGTAAGAAGAAACTCTATTTCTGTCCAAATGAAAAATTTAGTATTGGTTGCAGAATGACATGTTTTTGGATCCAATTTCATGTTAATGGTCCTTATGTTATGATTCACCTGTTCAATATACCCAAAGTGGTGAAGGGTATCATATAGTCGGCCCAGTCCGACTTTTTTTATACCCTCCACCATAGTATGGAAGGTATATTAATTTTGTCATTCCGTTTGTAACTCACCGAAATATTCATTTCCGACCCTATAAAGTATATATATTCTTGATCAGGGTAAAATTCTAAGACGATCTAGCCATGTCCGTCCGTCCGTCTGTTGTAATCACGCTATCTTCCGAAGGAATTGAAATAGGGCGCTGAAATTTTACATAGGTTTGTCTTTTGTCTGCAGGCAGGTCATGTTCGAAGATGGGATATATCGGTCCACGTTTAGGCATAGCTCCCATATAAGGGTACCCCTCAAGTTTCGGTATTTTGGGGTTCTTGAGCGCGTTATTCCGCAGAATTCGCTGAAATTTGGTACATTGAATTGTTATTGGGTACTTAATATCACCACAAAAAATTATAAATATAGGTCCACTTTTTCTGGTAGCCCCCATATAACGGTACCTCCTAAATTTCAGTATTTTGGGGGTTTTGGTCGTATTTTTCCACCGAATTGGCTGTAATTTAGTACTTTGAGTTCGTAATAGCTTCCAAATCACTCCACAAAAAATTATGAATATAGGTCCATTTTTTCTGGTAGCCCCCTGTTCAAAATGCTTTGAACAGAAATATAATTTATCAGCTCTTCTTGCCAGTCGTCAGCATGTTCAAAATACTTTGAACAGAATTCTGTGTTACAGAAGATTTGATCTTTGGAGTGTTTTAAGATAAGAGTCTAAAATCTCACACGGAACGCTGATAAGGCTGTTGTTGTTGGTGGTGAGATTTTATGACGCACACGATGGGAAAACTCTCCACAGATCAAATTCTATTATTAGAACAAATAGTTTACTGATAAGTATTTTGTGTTTGAGATTAGGCTAAGAAAGAGTTGTTTAAGTAGAACCTGAGGATAAATATTTTTATAAAATTAGTGACTTACAACCACTCAGCAAGAACGGTCGGCTGTCCGTGTCTTCTTATTTGTTATACAGACAAGCTGCGGCTGTCGGTATATTTTAAATATTTTGGTCCTTCGAAAAAACTGAGTAACAGACTCAGTGGAATCAGCGATTGGCGTTGCAAAAAAAAAATACAATAACAATTTTGAGTGAGGAGCTCACTCAAATTGTGAACGAAGTGAAGAGTTTTTTATTAAAAAAAAAAAAAAACAATAGGATGGAGGAAGAGTTAGACTTCTCCATAGAGTCTTAGCAAAAAAGACTTGATGAAAATGAGAAGAAGGAACAGTGCCGGCGATTTACTCGAAAAGCCGAGGAGTTAAACGCCATGTGTACGTTTTGGAATCGAAAATATCCTTCCGCAAAATGGCCCAATTGATGGAATGGATGAATATACTCGAAGAAGAGTTGCAAGAAGTTCAGCAATTAGCGCTCAAAATTGACGCCGAAAATATTAAATCGGAATATTACCGAGTTGAGAATGGTTGTATACCGATAATCTTAAAAATAAAAAATATACGGAGAGCATTTAAATTTGATGTCCATTTCTTTGATGACATTAGAAATGATCTAAACCAGAGGAGTGCCTTACAACCACTCAAACAGTACGGTCGGGAACACCGTGTCGTGTCTTTATTTATTATACAGATGAACTTCGGCTGTCTGTATATTTTTCTACATTTTTTGGTCCTTCGAAAAACTGAGTTTTCCCCCACCCGTGGTAAGAGACTCAGTAGAAGCAGCAAAAGTGGAAAAAAATATAAAAGCAATTTTGAGTAAGGAGCTCAAGAATTGCTAAATTTTCTGTTCTACGAGGTGAACAGTTTTTTATAAAATAAAATGGAGATGGAGTTAGACTTCTCCATAGAGTCTTGGAAAAAAAGACTTGATGAGAAGGAGAGAACGAAAATGTACAGGCGGTTTAATCGAGAGGCGCAGGAGTTGAACGCCATATGTGCATATTTAAAGAAAAGAATACCCTTCCGGCCAGAAGATCTACTAAAGGAATGGGTGAAGATTATTAAAGACAAGTTGGCTGATCAAGGATGAAAATATAACAGCAGATCTGGAGAAGGTGACCCAAATTTGTGAAACCATTTTGAAGGAAGTAGATGGCATCAAGCGAAATTATCTGGAGTTCTATTGTCATATCTACGCCAAGAACATGAAGATTTTTGATTTCGCATTGGAGGAAATATATAATGAAGCCGATTATGTAATTGAGCGGTGCGATGAAGTGAAAATGGAATTGCCTACAATGTCCAAAGAAAAAGCCCTATCGGAAATGGAATATTTGAAGGCAATATATATGGAAATCAAAAAGTTGATTCCAAAAACTTCAAATGTGGACTTTTCTGAAGATATGTTCTTCAAATTGAATCGTACGGAGGACATATACTTTGATGTAAACGAGGAGCTGTGTAATAAGCTGGAATCCTCCAATGATATTTTGGTGCCCCCGGCAAGCCCTCACTATAGAGGGAATTTATTCGCAAGAGGCAATGATGGTGACAGTCCACTAGTGCAGCAGAATCAAATAGAAACCTTGCAGTTTAGCGAGGCTGGATCTATGTGGCAGCTGAAGAAAAAGGAATCCGGCTCGAAGGACCAAAAATGTAGAAAAATATACAGACAGCCGCAGCTCGCCTGTATAATATAGTAAGACACGACACGGTGCTCCCGACCGTACTATGTGAGTGGTTGTAAGGCACTAATTTTAAAAAAATATTTATCCTTAGGTTCTACTTAAACAACTCTTTCTTAGCCTAATCTCAAACACAAAATACTTATCAGTAAACTATTTGTTCTAATAATAGAATTTGATCTGTGGAGAGTTTTCCCATCGTGTGCGTCATAAAATCTCACCACCAACAACAACAGTCTTATCAGCGTTCCGTGTGGGATTTTAGACTCTTATCTTAAAACACTCCAACGATCAAATCTTCTGTAACACAGAATTCTGTTCAAAGTATTTTGAACACCCCCCATATAAGGGTACCCCCAAATTTCGGTATTTTGGTGTTCTTGAGTGCGTTTTTTAACCGAAATCACTGAAATTTGGTATTTTGTAGCCGTACATGGAAACAAATCTCCCTACCAACAATTATTAATAGTGAACTCCTTTTAGGCGTAGTCCCCATATAACCCCATTTTTATACCCTCCACCATAGTATGTAGGGTATATTAATTTTGTCATTCCGTTTGTAACTCACCGAAATATTCATTTCCGACCCTATAATGTGTATATATTCTTGTAAAATTTTAAGACCAACAATTATTAATAGTCAACCCCGTTTTTAGGCGTAGTCCCCATATAATATAATTATCTGATTTTTCCGCGTTTTGGGTTTGGTTCTAACACTGTGTTGTAATCATTTCACCTGCGAAGGATATCCAGATAAAAAACTAGAACGTACGTTTCGATAATGAACTATAGCCCGCATTAAGGTATAACCGTAGCCCCTGTGTGGGAGTTACCAGAAGGCATGGACCTATATTCCCCAAATTCGGACTTGAACTAAGTTTGGAAAACATAATAAGATGGGATGAAATCAAATTTTTCTGAAACGGATTTGGTCCAAAGAAACATGGGGTCTAGAACGAATATTTCCATGAGGCACATTTTACACACTAATTAGCCATAAGGCTGATGGTTTAATTTTCTATTAAAAATTATTGTTTACATAATCGGTTTATAGAAATGTCGGCATATGTCCATTTTTGGTATGTTCCCTATATTTTCATTTCAATTACCTGCCAGTATATCTATGGTGGAGGGTATCCAAAGTTCGGCCCGGCCGAACTTAAGGGGACCCCCCCATTCTCGGGGTCAAAATTTTTTTTGATTTAATTCGAATCTACACTAATTAAAGAATGTCCCTACAAAATTTCAAGTGAAAATTTCAAGAACTCTTGAAGATATAGCCGATTTATAGTGTCAGCATCAAGTGACGGCTAAAGGGCTTCTCAAACTTTAAACGCGTTTTTCTCTTTTGTGAATGGCGAGCACGATAACTCAAAAACTAAAAACCCAATCGAGTCCAAATTTTTACACGTTTTTCTGTGAGTGTATAGCTCTCGTATGAACTAGGATAAAGCCAATCGGTGAAAATCTTCCTTATTTTTTAACTTGGTTTTTAGTCAAAAATCGGTGATTTTCCAAAAATATTTTTTCAAAGGTCCGCCATTTTGTTAATTTTAGAGCGAAGTCAATAATCCTAGTTCATACGAGAGCCAGACATGTACTCTTTCTAACACCGTTGGAATTTTCGGATTCCGATGTTCCAGTGAGGAGTTATCATGCCCGCCATCAAAAATAAGGACTTCTCTTTAATTACAAAAAACAACAACAAAACAACAACAAAACATTTTTGTAAATTATTTTTCTTCCTTTTTAAATCTTCAAATATATATGTGCAAAGTTATAAACCTTAACAAGCATTGGTATTGTTTTACCAGCCCATTGAAAATCTTAAAAAATTAAAATCGAGAATGGGTGGGGTCCCCTTAACGCTTTTTCACTTGTTTTTTTTTTTTTTTTTTTTTTTTTTTTTTTTAATTTGTCCGCTGATCCGCACTCCAAGAAATTTTGCCACAAATGAGAAAATATCCACACACCAGGCCACAGACGTCATGTGCGCGTCGCACAACAAAAAATTAAAAAAATTTTTTCGATTGGTTTGTGCACAGGCAAATCGGTGTGATCGCCGTACCACACACGTCAAACATTGCTTCGATTCACACCGATCGAACGCACATGTTTGTCGAGTGTGGGCCACTTTAGGCTCATTCACCGTATCAAAGTGTATATACCTCATTAGCCATAAGGCTAAGGGTATAAATATTTTGTTAAAAGAGAAAATCAGAAAAGTTTATATTATGATCATTTATACCCATAGACATAGGTCCATTGTTTCGTTTTCAGAATATGCACACAATTATTTTCTGGGTCGATTTTTGTATGATCATGTCAAATTGTAGGCACGGAGGAGCCTACGTCTGTTCCATATATACGAAATAAAATTGTGGACAGCGCTCTGGACCTGCTCAGGTCCGCATTTACATATAGCTCCCACATATAATTTTGTTCGATTTAACACAAATGCTAAACCGAAGAATCCAAGTCTGCCCGATTGACATGAAATTTTTCATAGATTTCAGAATGATATGTGTATGGGGTTTTTAATTGGTTCAAATATCTATGTAAATCACACATTAATTTTGCCCGATTCCATTTCATTGGTCCTCAAAGATGCTTTGTCTGTTCCATCTACATGATATTTTACATAAGCATCTCTTCTATGTACCCAAAGTGATGAAGGGTATCATATAGTCGGCCCCGTCCTACTTTTGAACCTTCCTTACTGGTTTAATTCGTTTCACAATCAAATTTTGTGTTTATATTTTAGTAGCCACAACTTCATAATGCATTAAATCTCTTTTGGGTGCTGCAATGGAAATACAAAAGTCAATTCCCTAGCATTTCGAAAACGAAACAAAAAACAAAAAAAAAAAACAAAAAACAATTCACAATACAATAATAACCTCAGGGGAAAACATATTATCACCATGTGATGATACTCTGATTGATTATATCGTCTGACTGCGTTTGTGTTTTATTCTGTTCTGTTGGTCGACAACAGTTAAGTGCCATCGGCGTAATTGTTGGGATTTCCTTGATCGTTGCAATATATTAAGCGGAAATTAAAATCGTTACGAGTTGATTTTTTTTTTTTTTTTTTGTGTGCACTAAAATATGGGAGATGGCGTTCAAAAAAATAAATAAATAATAATGAATGTTTGATTTGTCATTTGTTTTCGCACTACTGTCTACCAACTGATTGTCAACATAATCCCCTGTGCCCACTGCTGCGACCATGGTCGTGGTCCATTTGAATATTCTATGAATTTGGTTGCCATTTAATGTATTAATTACACATGCATTAAGTCAATAATTATTCAAGCTATTTGTTTATCAAAACCAAAAACAACAGCAGCAGCAAAAAACTGTCTATTGGTTTGCCCCGAAGTCTGTCGTTCTGTCTGCAGCAAAATGTAAATAAATAATTTTGTTTAATGGTTTCACTCATTTTTTAGAGTTAGAGTTTTAGCGTTTGAATTTTAAATGGGGGCTAGGTAAAGAATTTAAATGATATAACTGCCATCAATTAATGTAGATTTTTGTGTTTTTTTTTTTTTAATTGGTAATCGCTTATGGTATGTTTTTATAATAATTGTAATTAAAGTTTGTTGAACAAACAAATCATTTAATATTGAATTCATATTTTTTTCGTATGTATTCTTTTGTTTATAAAAAATGACTTTAAGAAATGTTTGTCTATTTTCATATTATATATTCATCAAAATTTGTAACCGTTTTTAATAAATACGTAAGATGAGTCATAGCAGGAGTCGATATTTATTCTCTATCGATTTCGAATATACATCTCGAATGTATTAAAACACAAATTAAATTATAATTAAATATTTTGAAGACACAACCTGAAACATTAAATTCGGTATTTATACTCTTCACGACAACGTTTACAGAGTATTATGTATTTGCGCATATGTTTGTAACAGGCAAAAGCAAACGAGATAGACCCATGGTTCCTTTTGAGAATATTCTAGGCATTTTCTCACTTTAGGAGTCGATTTATGCATGTCCATCCGTCCATGTATTTTGTGAAAAAAGTACAGGACGCATTTATGAACCGATTTGAATACAATTTGGCAAAGGTCACTTATTTATTCTAAAGACGAACCCTATTGAAATTGGAGAAAATCGGCTCATATTTCCATATAGCTCCCATATACAGTTTCGTCCGATTTTATGTAAATGGAGCACCATACTGCCATTATTTATTCTAAAGACGAACCCTATTGAAATTTGTAGAAAATCGGTTCATATTTCAATATAGCTCCCATATCACTAGAACGCCGAAGGCGGTCATTTTGACCGCTTTCCAATTTCAAGTACAAAAGCAACTGTGCATTTAATGACTTTTTTTTTAAATTTGGTGAATTTTTTATAATAAACGTAATTCTATGAGGTACAAAAAGTCACCATATTTAAAAAAAGTGTCATTAAATGCACAGTTGCTCTTGTACTTGAAATTGGAAAGCGGTCAAAATGACCGCCTTCGGCGTTCTAGTGTTAAATAGATTCGTCCGATTTTATGTAAATGGAGCACCATACTGCCATTATTTGTCCGATTGAGACTAAATTGTACATAGCATTCTATTTGCACGATAAATCGATTCAGATGTAGATTTAGCTGCCATTTAATCGGATTTCATCTAATGTTGTACAATTAGGACGTATTTGATGTTAGAGATGCACCTCGCATCAAAAATTTTTGAAACAAATTTGGTCCAAAGAAACATGGGGTCCAGGACCAATATTTAAAACCATAATCGGTTTGTAGAAATGTCGGAATAGGTATGTTCCCTATATTTATA